ACTGCTGGTTGGAATGAAAAATGGTGCAGTCATGTGGAAAATAGTGTGGTGGTTCCTTAAAAAATTAAAAATAGTATTACTATCAAAAGTCAAACCCACTACCATTGAATTGATTCCGACTCATAGTGACCCTATAGGACAGAGTAGAACTGCCCCATAGGGTTTCAAGTCTTAAAATCCTTAGGAAAGCAGACTGCCTCATCTTTCTCCCATTGAGTGGCTAGTAGGTTTGAACCATCAACCTTTTCATTAGCAGCCAAATATTTTAAGCACTATACCACCAGAATTCCTTAGTATTACTATTTAAAAGAAAAAAAGTAAAGAAAACTCACTGCCACTGAGTCAATCCCAACTTATAGTGACCACTCCTTGGGTTTCCGAGGTGGTATCTCTACGGAAGTAGATTACCCAACCTTCCTTCCAAGGAGTGGCTGGTGGGTTTGAACTGCCAGCCTTCTGGTTACCAGTCAAATATCTTAGGCACTACATCACCAGAGTTCCCTAGTGCTACAGTGAACACCGGTTTACAAGTCTCTGAGTCTCTGCTTTCAAGTCTTTTGGGTATATACCTAGGAATGGAATGTGGTCCAGCAATTCCATTCCTAGGTGTAAACCGAAAATACTTAAAAGCAGAGACTCAGAGACTTGTATACCAGTGTTCGCTGCAGCTCTATTCACAATAGCCAAAAGGTGAAAACAACCTAAATGCCCATCTATAGATGAATGGATAAGCAAAATGTGGTACATACATACAATGGAATACTACTCAGCCAGTAGGAGAAATGAAGTCTTGAGACATGCTACAATATGGATGTAGCCTGAAGACATTATGAGTGAAATAAGTCAATCATAAAAGGACATATCATATGACTTTACTCATATAAAAAGATAAGAAAAGGCAACTGTATAGAGACCAAAGTTTATTAGTGGTTACCAGGGGCAAGAGGGAGGGGCAAAGAGGAGTTAACAGTGATGGAAAAATCATATTGATTAAGGGTCAGGTTGCACTGCCAGTTGTTATAAGTACTATCAGTAAGTTTTACACCTGTAAAAAGGTGAATTGACAAAAGTTGTGTGATATCTACAACAATGGCCAAAAAGAGTAGCTGACGAGGCTGCTTCTTTACAACCAAGCACTTGTTCAGATTTTCTTCCCTTGGTTTGGAAGTTTAGGGTCATGGTTTAATGGAACATCCCAGTTAATTGGCCTATTAATGTGCTTAGTGTTTATGTTCTGCCTCCTAGTTTCTTGCATTGTACCTGGGGTACTTGCAAGCTACCATGAGAACAAATTTAGGGGATGAATCTTAACAGAAATTAGTGACCATCTGAATGCCTCTTACTTTCCATTCTCACATCTTTCACTTGGGTGCTCCAAAAAGCTTCCAGTGGTCTCAGCCTTTATTCCTCCTTCTGTGATAGGTCCCATATACTGGAGTGGTGTTAGTCATGTTTTGCTGGTTCTCCATTTCTTTCAAGGGAAGTGCAGCTGCCAACTAAACCTTAAAAGCCTTTTACTCCTGGCCCCAGCCTTACATTTCACCCAGATTTTCACTGTTCACTGACGTAAACCAGCCATTCAGTGGTCTGGTTCTTTATCCCATGGACCGTAATCACATTCATTTATATTTTGCTTCCTCTTAGATGCCCTCCTATCCAAAACTTGCCCATCCCTCCTTTTCTAGAAAGCCTACCCTGTTTGTACCATTCTCTGTCTCCAGGACTGTTTATCCCACCCACCTAAGCAGCTCTTTCTGATACTTTGTTCTTCCTATTTAAACTTTCCACATGTTTCTTTCTTCAGTGGGATCTTATGCTTCTCAAGAACATCTCTAATTTCTCTTGCTTCTTCTGTGGTCTCTGTTTTTTGTTAGGTGCTGTGGAATCAGGTTGACTCATGGTTTACTCGTACGTACAACAGAACAAAACATTCTACAGTCCTGTGCCATCCTCACCATCATTGCTATGTTTGAATGTGTTGTTGCCTCTGAAAAAACAAACAAACAAAAAAACCAAATTTACTCCTACTGAGTCAGTTTCAACTCATAGTGACCTCTGTTGATTTTCCAAGATGGTAAATCTTTCCAGAAGTAGATTGCCCATCTTCCTTCCACAGAGCAACTGGTGGGTATGAGCCACCAACCTTCTGGTCAGCGGGCAAATGCCTTAGACACTGTGCCACCAGAGCTCCTTATTGTTGCATCTAGCAGTCACTAAAAATGCACATTGAACGAATGAAGCCTTCTGGGTTGTAGGAGGAGGGAAATACCATCTACTGAAGACAAATGATTCAAGAACAAGAAGAAAACTATGCCTACCCTTATGATTACATTTTTTTTTTTTTTGGCTTCATATGTTTTGGTTTTTTAAATAATATTTTTTATTATGTTTTCAGTAAAGGTTTACACAACAGTTTAGGTTCCCATTCAACAATTTCTTCACAAAGTGTTCACTGACATTGGTTAGGTCTTCACAATGTATGAACATTCTCAGTATTTCTATTCTTGTCATTCCATTTCCATTAATATAGTTTCCCTGCCCCCTTATATTCTCATCTTTGCTTTAAAGTAATTGTTGACCATTTGGTCTCATATAAATAATCTTTTAAAGGAAAACAGTACTTATGGGTGATTTGTGTGTGTGTGTGTGTGTGTGTGTTCTTTTGTTTTTTAACATTATGGTTGCATCAGAAATCATTGCTTAAAAAACTCAGTAAGAAGTCATTTCATTCCAGAATTCCAAATCATGAAAAAGGAGTTGTTTATCTTTAAGCATCTTTCTTAGGCCCTCAGCACTATGAGCAAAATGTCAGTATACCCTTCTGCTCTGGAGGTAGAAATGTTGACCAAAGAGCAGAGTCAAAGTCTCTAAGGAAGTCCTTAAGCAGAGCTTACCTTTGTTGTTGTTATGTGCCGTCGAGTCAAACCCAACTCATAGCAACCCCTCCTTGGGTTTCCGAGGCAGTATCACTACGGAAGTAGGATTGCCCAACCTTCCTTCCGAGGAGTGGCTGGTGGGTTTGAACCGCCAGCCGTCTGGTTAGCAGGCAAGTGTCTTAGCCACTATGCTACCAGAGCTCCCTAGGTGACTTTAAAGTTTTAACTGTTTGAGTCAGTAGTTGATAAATTACAATGCCTTCCCATTTCTTTTAACCTTTACAAGGCAAAGAAGTTCATAGTCCCAGTGGATTTGTTAGGGACTACTACCCATTCTGCAAGCAAGAGTAGTAATTATCCTTGAGTCTGCTGAGTAGTAGATCAAGGAAGGGGAGACTGATGGATGAGGGAGAAATCTGTTATGGAGATTCAGAGTCCACAGTCTTCTGTGTGGCTGAAGAGTGGTATCATTCTCATATGCAAATATTAGCATATATTTTATTGACTCTTTAGATTGTATAGAATGGCAATCCATGTTAGCTTCTGGACTGCTTTCTGAAAGTGAAAGTATCAGAAAAAGATTTGTAGAATGGGTTTATGGTGGGAAAATAAAAAAAGGAATAGCATATCCTAACATTTTTCTCCTGCATTGAAGTCCTTTTCCTACACTCTGTGTCCTGACTGGGGTGAGCTGATGAATCCAGTGTAGCCCTGGGCAGCCCTGTCTACAGAATTCGTAAGAATCTTCTACGCTTCCTGCTTACCACCTCTGTAAGCCTTACCTCCTTATGATATGCCTTGTTAACCTAACACTTGAAGGTCACATTGGCCATCTCCAAATCTAATGGCCTCTTTTTATTCTTCATCTGCTTCTACCTTGTTTTAGCATCCCATTCTTTTCCAAACTTATTGCCTTAGAGTCGATGTCATGAAACAAAATATGTGTGAACCGCTGTATAGAAAATGAATTTGCTCTGTAAACTTTCACCCAAACCACAATAAAATTTTTTTAAAATAAAACAAAAGCTTATTGCCTTATAAGAACCCAAACTTTTAAAGTTATCACTTGAATTATATTAGCTTTCTTCCCAATACTCCTCTCCTGTGTGTACACACACACACACACATACACACACACATTCATGCCATATTCCTAAAAAGCACAAATACCTCTACCAAATTCATCGTTCTAAAACAAAATCCAAACCCATTATCCTGAAATTCAGAGCCCTAAATAACTTGCTAAGGAACCCTGTTGGCACTGTGGTTGAGTGCTTGTCTGTTAACCATAAGGTCAACAGTTCACACACACCAATGTTTCCCGAGGAGAACGATGTTACAGTCTGTGTCTGTAAAGGCTACAGCCTTGGAAACCCCATGGGGCAGTTCTTCTCTGTCCTATATGGTTAGTATGAGTTGGAATCGCCTCAACAGCAAAGGGTTTCAAGTACCTCACTGAGATCATGTCAGTTCCTCTACCTACATATTATGTTCCAGCTACCTTAGTATCTTGCCATTATCTGGTTAAGCCTCAATACTTTTCTCTTTCTCCATTCTGCACTTATGCATGTCCCAGTTGACATACAAAGTTCTATATTAGAACAAAGAATGAGATTTTCTCATCTTTTTATCCTCTACAGAGATTACTACAGATAGTACTTTGCAACCCACATTTTTTTAATGAATTAATCCCAAATCCAAAGAGATCCTGAGGTGAAACAAGTAGATTTAGGTTAGCACCAAGCCTTGAAAGGTTGTCAGCCTGGGTTCCTCTGCCCACAGTAGCTTTAGATTAGAGGGAACCCCCACCAACCCTTGTCCAGACTCCCATCCTGCCCTCCCCTATTTCTTCTAAGATTGAGTAAAGTATGGACTCACTGACTGTGCCTTGCTGAGGAAGAGTATATACTGCACCATGACTTTTGGACACTTAGGTTGGAGCTGAAGTCTTCTGCTTGGAGTGGGAGCTTGGTGACAGCCTTGTTGATGACTCTGGAATCTGGTATGTGCATAGATTATTCTTAAAAATGTTATAATCTTTCAATAAGACAGGAAAAGGAGAAAGTCCTATTGAATCTGTTTGCACTCTGGCTCAGGATTATGGAGCCCACTGCTTTTCTACAGGCACTGGGACGCTGTGTTAGCTGCACTGTCTAAGGAGTGGGATGCCCCCCGCCTGGGCCAGCTGCTGCTGCAGGAGGCTGACCTGTCGGCCCTCCGGCTCTTGGAAGCCCTGCTTCAGACCGGACCCCACCTGCTGCTTCAAACACATGCTTTTCTTGCCTCTGACTTCACAGATGTTGTGCCAGGTGAGTAACTTTCACCATGGAGCCCAGACTGACCAACTTCCCAAGAGAAACAAAAACACATTCCTTATTCAGCAGAACCCTCCAACCTGAGACTCTCCCTGCTTGGAACAATCAAGAGTTTCTGTCACGGGGTGGTACAGATGGTTAAGCACTTGACTGCCAGCTAAAGGTTGGTGATTTCAACCCACCCAGAGGCACCTTGGAACACAGGCCTGACAATCTGCTTCCACCCTTGAAAACGCTATGGGGCAGTTCTACTCTGCATACATGGGGTTGCCATGAGTCAGAATTGGTGCAGCAGCAACTAATAAGAACCACAAGTAGCTCACTAACACTATGATGTTTAAAACTGGCTTTCATTTGGGGAATTTAGTTCACAGAAGTTGCTTCTTCCATGGAGTTTAGGTTCTGAAGTTCATCTGTAGGATTGAAAGTATATATAGCAACAGTTAAGTTGAAAATTCCTTGGGACATTGTCACATCCTATTTCTCCTGTGTCTTTAGTCACTGTACTAACTTTTAACAGCCAGAGAATTGTACCCCAAGGCCATGTGGAAACTGAAACAACTCAGGCCCTAAAAGTGTTTACAGCTCCCCCTTTCTGCTTCCAGCTCCTCATTCTGCTTCTCCCTTTTCTCCTCTATTGCTTCTATTCTTTGCTCTTCTCTTCTTTAATCTTCCCCTCCCCTCCTTTCCATTCACTTCCTCTCCTCTCCTCATCTGTTCTTTTCTCTTTCCTGAGTGTCCACATTTGTATTTGCACAAGTTTAAAGCTTAAAAGGACTCTATTGCATCTCCATCTATCTTTATCAAAGAACCAAATACAGTTTGATATTCTTGTTTTATTTCTTTTATTAAACCTCCTTCATATGGATTGAACAATAAAGTACCATTGGGATGTAATGCCATGTTCAGAAAGCTATACAAAGGAAGTGCCCAATTAATTTGTTGAGGAAGAGCATCTACTTCATGATGCAGTCATCCTTGTCGTATTCTGTATGTATACATGTATTTCTACATAGACTTTTTATGCTTCCACAGGTGAATGTACTTGTTTAGAGACACTCCAGATGAAGTCAAGTTTTAATGAGAGATTATATGTCCCACAGAAGGAATTTCATGAATGGGTCTTTATGTGTGCTGTTGATTTGAAACCTTAAGAGAATACTGTTGTCTATTTCCCTTCCAGGGGTGAGTGCCTTGTTTTCCTGGTCCTCGCTGTCCTGGGCTCTGGTGTCATATGCTCGTTTCATGGGCTTCATGAAGCCGGGTCACCTCTCTATGCCATGGGCTGCCCTCTTCTGCCAACAACTCTGGAGAATGGGCATGTTGGGAACTCGCATTCTGAGTCTGGTTCTGTTTTACAGAGCTTACCATGTTTGGGTTTTGGTAGTTGGAGGTAAGCTGAGCTTATGTTCTGGTTACTTACTGCCATATAACCAAAAAACAAAAACGAAAAAACTAACGTGTTGCCTTCTAGATGATTCTAACTCATAGTGATCCTACAGAAGTAGAATGGCCCCATAGAGTTTGCAAGGGTATAAATCTTTACAGAAGCAGACTGCCACATCTTTCTACCATGGAGTGGCTAGTGAGTTTGAACCACAGACATTTGGTTAACAGTCGAGTGCTTACCTACTGCATCACCAGGGCTACTCTGCCACAGTAAACCACTCCAGAATTTAATGACCATATATGATCTTCTCCACAGTGTTGGGGTTGACTTGGCTTAGAAGAGTAGTTCTCACTTGGAGTACCACATGTGGTTGCAGTAGGATAGTGGGGGTCTGAATTCATAATAGAAGGTTGACTGGGCTGGACATACAAGAAGCTTTCTTTACTCATATGTATTACATCACATATGGCCATTCTCTTCAGTAAAGTACCCTGGATTTCATACATGGCAGCTGAGGACCCCAAGGAAAAGGAAGTAGGAACTGCCAGTGCTCTTAAAATATAGGCCCAGAACCTGCACATGTCACTTCTGCCTTATTCTGTGGGTCAAAGTAGTCATTGGCCAGCCCAGATTCATGAAGGAGGAGGAATAGACTCCCATTCTTCATGAGTGTACAGGGAGGGAAGGAATTCATGGTAGCTGTTTTTGGAGATAAACTTCCATAGCTTAGAATCTAGCCTTCAAAAGTCCCAGCTAACTCTAGAGCATAAGTTTGGTTGCTGCAAGGGCTCCTCAGCACAGTACCAAGTTGTCTCTATTGTGGACTGAAATCTTTTCGAAAGCTGTCACTCAAGCAGGAGGGAAGTCTAAGGTCCTACCTGCCCTGACCCAATGCAAAAATATACAGTAGATACTATGATATTGCTCATAGTCTCCAGAAGTTCACCATTTTGTTTAAGTGCTCAGTCTTTGACATCTTCTCGGTTTCCAGTAGAACATTTGCCATGAACCAGAACCCACCCTTTGCCCTCAGCCTGGCACCACACAGACGTGAGTGGTGATGACAGGGAGTCAGCCTGACTCTGCAGGACAACTGAATGAGGCCTGTGTGCCCTGCCAAGGAGGGGACTCTGGTCATAAGTGAATGCATTCACAGCAGGAACAGTGTACTCTTGTTTTAAAAGAACTAGAGAAGTTGAGAAATACTGAAACCTTAGGCTTAGTGCAAACGTTAATGCATTTATTGGCAGAAAAGAGAATTTTTGAAAGAAAGTGTGCTTCTAAAGCAAATTTATCTATTTTATTGTTGTTGATTTTTTTTTTTTTAATTCGGCTTGAATTCCAGTCTGATATTGTTGTTGTTATTGTTATGTGCCATTAAGTTGGACCCGACTCATAGCAACCCCCCTTGGATTTCTGAGGCAGTATCACTACAGAAGTAGATTGCCCAACCTTCCTTCTGAAAAGTGGCTGGTGGGTTTGAACCTCCAGCCTTCTGGTTAGCAGTTAAGTGCCTTAGGCACTATGCTATCAGAGCTCCCAGACTGATACTATCCATCTTAAAATGTTGTTGTTGTTGTTGTTGTTGTTGTTTGCCATCGAGTCAGACCCAACTCATAGTGACCCTTCCTTGGGTTTCCGAGGCAGTATCACTACAGAAGTAGATTGCCCCATCTTCCTTCCGAGGAGTAGCTCGTGGGTTTGAACCGCCAGCCTTCTGGTTAGCAGTCAAGTGCCTTAGCCACTATGCTACCAGAGCTCTTAAAATGTAGGAATAAAAATTAAAAGTGGGATCACACAGAGTTCTTTACTTCCAGTGTGGAGGTTTTTAGGTTTTGCAGTTACAATGGAAGAAAATTGTAAATTGAGTGGAAAAATCAGTTTCATAACTGCTTCCTTAAACACTTTTGGATCCAAAAGGGGATAAGTAGATAATAATTCATAAGTGGTCTTGAAGTGAGTCTTTGTTTCTTATCAAATTAGGAAGAAGACCCTTTATAAGCATCAAATGAGATAATGTAAAAGTAAAATGTGATGGTTTTCTAGGGCCCTCTGACCTCTTATGAGTTTCAGTTTCTCTCCATGGTCAGGATTCTGAGTCAGCATTGGTCACATCAGAGTAGAGTGTGTCAGGAAACTCTAGTATCTGTGTCCTTGCCTGGCTTGTCTCTCTGGGTCACCCATCAACAACAACAACAAAAAAAAAAACCCACTGTCATCAAGTCAATTCTGACCCATAGTGACTCCCATTGTGTTTCCAAGGTAGTAAATCTTTACAGAAGTGGATTGCCCCATCTTCCTTCCATGGAGCAGCTAGTGGGTTTGAGCTGCCAGCCTTCTGGTTAGCAGTGTAATGCCTTAGGCACTAGGCCTTCCAGAGTCTCTTTTTGGCCACTGGGGGCCTCATTTCCGCTGGCCTGCTTTCTCTCTAGGTGCCCACTGGTTAGTGATGACGTTCTGGCTTGTGGCACAGCAGAGTGACATCATCGACAGTACCTGCCACTGGAGACTGTTCAACCTACTCGTCGGGGCTGTGTACATCTTCTGCTACCTTAACTTCTGGGACAGCCCTTCCAGAAATAGGATGGTCACGTTCTATATGGCAAGTAATAATGAGGAGTTTTTCTCTAAGTTAACTTTTAATGTACATTGTGTATGTGCGTGTGTATACACTTATGCTTCCATAATTACTTAAGAAGTAATAACTTATTCTTAGGAAAAATCCTAAATAGAATTTTCATCTTAAACAGAAAAGACAGCATGTGAAAATAGTAAGCTGACATCCAGTTGTTCCCTAGTCATTATAGTAATAACTAGCATATTTGGTGACTTTTTTTTTTTTTCACCTACTCTCCACAAGTCAATATGATAAATATAATTACCATTCAACTATAATCCATCATATATAAAATATCCATGTTAACTCAATTTTTAAATGTTTATTGTTGAGTTCAAAGCATTGTCCTTGATAGTATGAAAGCACAAAAATGACATAATGCCTGTCTTCAGGTTGCTTCTAGTCCACTAGGAGAGATAAGATCTTCACTCAAATTACTAAAATATGAGGCAAAACATGGGTAGATGCTAGGAGGGGAAAAATGTTTGGAACATAAAGGAGCACCTGTCTGCATCACTTCCTGTTGGGATGATCAGAGACACTTGACTAGAAAGTAGAGTTTATAAAAGGGGAAAGGAGAGAAATAGAGCCAGGCAGTTAAGGGCACAGATTTTGGAGTCAAACAAGGTTGCACATGGACCCCTGCTCAGCCAATTACTAACCATGAGACCTTGGCCAAAAATTTAAACTGTTTTTTTATCAGCACATTAGGAATAATGCCACCTAAATCTCAGAGGTCCTGTGAAGATTAAATAAGATCTATCTACTTGGCAAGGTTCCTGTGAACATTAAATAAAATAACATACATAAATAACTTGGCACAAAATAAACAATAAATAGTGGCTGTTGTTAATATTTCAAGATAAACAGACTTTCAGCCAGGACAGGCATTCCAGGATGGAGACATGGGCAGCTGTAAGGAACAGGAAAACACAGCACTTGTCCAGGAAAGGATGGGCTGCTTGACCACCTCTTGTATTTGGCTCCTGGTTGTGGAGCCAGACAGAGCTAATAGGATTTATGATGTTGGACAAGTTACTGAGCCTCACCAAGACTCAGTTTCCACATTTGAATAATAGTGCCCATCTCAGAATATGGTGGTAAAGACTTAATACATTAATGTATGAAAGGGCCTGGTCCAGTGTTGTGATGATAGCAGCTTCCTCACCCCTATATATGAGTGAAAATGGAATACTGATGTTACTACCCATTTTCAGAAGCAGTTCATTCTTAGTTTAGTGGTCCCATCTGCCAGTGCCCAAATGTTCACTGATAAGCAAGAGTTAAATAATGAAAGTGTCGTATTTGTTGCTTTTTCTTTTGTTTTTAATCATTTTCACGCTTGACAGCATGTCTCCCCAGAGTTTTAGAGGCTATTACAGGAGGCAAAGAAGCAAATACTATATTCCTCCCAGCTCAGTCACTAGATCACTGAGTTAAGAGCAGTGAAGTAGGAAAGCTGAAAATCAAATACTGTTTTACAGTGGAATCTAAAATAGTGGCCCTTGCATTCCCATCAGGCATTTGTAGTGATTCTCCCTCTTCACAGTATGCCATCCAGTTGAAAGAAATCTCAGTGGCCTAAATCCCCAGCAGCATAAAACCAAAAACCAAACTCACTGCTCTTCAACTCATAGCAACCCCTTTGGGTTTCTGAGACAGTAAATCTTTATGGAAGTCAATTGCCCAGTCTTCCTTCCATGGAGTGGCTGGTGCGTTTGACCTACCAGCATAGTGAGGGGGGAAAAACATGGGTTTTAGGCTTTGACATCCAATATATTAGGTAGGGTTTTGAGCTGTATGAGAGACCTTACTTGCTGTTTCTCCGTCACAGTGTTTTCATCTCTCAAATGTTATGGATAAGATTGATAAGATAATAGATCGAAAGTAAAGAGTCTTGGTGCCTAGCCCATGGTGAATCTTAAATATATAATATCTTCCTAAATGAGAGATTAATACAAAAATATATAATATCACCATACAGAGGCAAAACTCCCAGGATAACCTCTTAAAACTGTAACCCATTTAAGGAAAGATTATCAATCATATTTGGGGTCTCTTTCTCTCTCGCTGCCATCGAGTCAGATCCGACTCATATGACCCCTCCTTGGGTTTCTGAGTCAGTATCACTATGGAAGTAGATTGCCCAAACTTTCTTCTGAGGAGTGGCTAGTGGGTTTGAACCGCCAGCCTTCTGATTAGCAGTCAAATGGCTTAGGCACTATGCCAAAATGGGGGGTAGGGGTGGGGGAGAGGGTTGCAGCTGTGGAAGCATATTAAAGGGCCAGTCAGAGATGAAGAGTGGACATTGTACATCCAGACACTGCACAGAGGTTAGCGTGCCCCAGAACAAAAGTATCCTGAGGTGCGCAGGACTAGGCAATCCTAGCTTCATGACCCTGGTCATCAATGCATACAACACACTCTCCTTACTGTTATTCAAGAACCCCAACCATCTTCTGATCAAATTTGGCTAAGTGGTGAGACCCTGAAGCCATTAGCTCTGGCTAGACAATGAGTGCCTAGTTTCTGAACCTACAAGCCTGAGGGCCAGACCCCAAGGGGAAACACTGATGTACCATCTCTATGTGGGAATAAACCATCAGATTCCTCAGCAGCCTGAGATGTGCTCTTTGGCAAACACAGACCAGTGATGTCATCCAAAAGTCTGCTGAAGGTGCTTGGGCCCTCCCTGACCAGGTATCTTCTAGCCCAGCCCTCAGGACAACAGTGCCACACTGGGAAGTAGCCTGGCAGAGTCCAGGCCCATGTGAGCCCTAGGAAAAGCAGCAGGGGCCTGTCTGGAAGCCCCAGCATTGGGAAGGCCAGCTCAGGGCTAACTTGACCATCGTACATCTGTTTTGAACCTATGCATGGGTAATTAGCGAACCCCCACCCTCCTGCACCCACCAATAATAACATAAAAAGTTTTAAAGTCTGCCACGCTATTGGAAAAATGAACATCTATCCTTTATGAACTAATAATACCCAGATTTCCAGTGAAGAATAATAAGTACGAGGAATGATAGCCAATGGCTTAGATTAAATAATGGAATGCATTGCCCCAGAACAAAGCAGTAATTTTTTTAAAAAAGTTTTTATTGTGATTTGTGTGAAAGTTTACAGAGCAAATTCACTTTCCATACAGCAGTTCACACTTTGTCTCATGACATTGACCACAATTTACCACAATGCAACAGCTCCCCTCCCACTTCCTCCCCATAGTTACCTCTTCCCTGTGTGCTTCCCTCCTATGCACTCCTGCCCCCTGAGCTGTCTCCCTGTGCATACACAGCCCTTCTATTCTCCCATGATTGTTCTCTCTAAGGAGTGTATCTACCTAGTGTAAATGTTCAGCTCATATGCCTGTCTTTTGTTTGGCTGGAAGCCACGGGAGTGGGTTCAGTTCCAAACCTGAAAGGCATCTAGGGGCCATAGTCTCAGGGATTCCACCAGACTCTATCAGAGCAGCAAACTTGGTCCTTTTTTTTTCCCCCCTCATGATTTTGAGTTTTGTTCCATACTGTTCTCCCACTCTGTCCACGATCTCCTACACAGATCCCCATGTGAGTGGTTCACAGTGGTAGCCTGGCACCATCTAGTTCTTCTGGTCTCATAGTCGTGTAGGCTGAGGATCACATGGTGTACCAGTCGCTTGGACTAATTGTTTCCATGTGTCTTTGGTTTTTTTCATTATTCTTTGCTCTGGATGAGGAGAGACCCATCATTGCATCTAGATGGCCACTTGCAAGCCTTTAAGATCCCAGTTACTACTTGCCAGAGTAGGAGGTGGAAAAATGTTTTTGTATAATACGTTATGCCAGTTGAGGTTAATGTCCCCTGCAACTATGGTCCCAAGCCCACAGGTCCAACTACTCACTTCCTCTGGGTAGCTGGCTGTGGCCAAGAAGTAACTACCACCTTGTCCCTTTTCAGCTTTACTGTATACCTGGGAATTCTTACACAACATACAAATACACTTGTAGAAACATTGTGTGCCAACCCTATACATGGTCATGGGCATACTCCTCCCTGCATAGACACACCTAATAGTTCAGCCTCAAAGCAGTAACTTTTAAGTTATCCTTATGTTTATTCACTCAGTTCATTTATTTCTTCAATAAATGAAACTTTTCTTTTCAAGGAAGTTCATTATGGCTTTCCCTGTTCTCACCTTGAGATACTGGAAATAGTAACAAAAACATTAACAGTCACTAACACTTTGGGCCTGGTTGTTATGTCACCAGATGCAGTTATAAATTCATTGACTATTTTATTTCACTTACTTCTCACAAAACTCTGTAAGATAAAACCCATTTTGCAGATGAGGAAACTGAAGCTCACAAACATTAAGTAACCTGAAGATCACATAGCTAAACCAGACAGACCAAACCAACCAAACCTGTTGCTACCAAGTCAATTTTGACTTGGTAGCAACCCTTTAAGATACAGTAGAATTTCCCCCTTAGAGTTCCCAAGGCTATAAATCTTTACAGAAATGGACTACCACATCTTTCTCCCACAGAGCAGCTGGTCGGTTCTAACTACCAGCTGTTTGACTAGCCAGCCGAATGCTTTAACCACTATGCAACCAGGGCTCCTTAACAAGACAGAGGTGATAGTCAAAGGTAATTGGGTCTGAAGCTGCAGCCTGAACTCTTAACTGCCACAACACACTGCCTGGCATGGGGAATAATGACTCATGGGCTTAGGACTCAAGAGTGAACTGAAGGGGTCCCAGTGCAACTGTTTCTAAACCTGGCTGACATCAAAGTTACACTCACTTTGTAGGTTACTGGGAAGGGGAGGGATTAATTTCGGGCTAGTTGGGGCCCATGCACTGACGTGAGTAAGAGGAGGGCTGTATGGAGAGAGCCTGTGACCATCATGATAACATTAGGAAAAGGGAGGACACTGAATTGTACACATAGGAGATAGATGACAGATGCTAATGCCAACCAGTGTGCCCACAATACTGCATTACCATTAACACCAAATACCAGGCTACAGATAAATACCTGAGAGGATCAGGTGGAGGTCAGTGAACAGGAGTATACTCTAGACCAACGATAGATTCAGTGGAGGATAATCTTGAACAGATACCAGTGATACAAAATACCTACAATCCTTACAGAAACAACAGAAGACAAACACAGAGTAATCCCTCACAGACACCCAGACACTGTGGGAGAGAGATCCAATGGATCTACTGTCTCAGGACCATAGTACTGGGGGACATCAGACTCAGTTGGCACAACCAAATACATAAAAGCCTTGCTCCTCATCCTACAGTTGTAAGTAGCAACTGGGATCTTGAAAGCTTTCAAGCGGCCATTTAAGATGCAGCTAATGGTCTCCTATCATTGGAAGCAAAGTTAAGAGTGCAAAAAAAACAAGGGCATTTGGAAGCAGTCAGCCCTAGGATATGATGGCCCTCGAGACCAGAAAAACTAGATGGGCCCAGCTACCAATGCCAATCATTCAGGAAAGGATCAAATGTGGAGATCCTGGATAGAATGGGAGGAAAAACGTAGAACAAAATCCAAAAACTCAATAATGACCAGAATTACTGATAGGATGGAGTCTGGTAAGACCCTCAGTACTGTGGTCCTGGGATCCATTCTGGGCCTGGAATAAAGCTCACTCCCAAGCTCTGGCTCTCAGCCCAATAGTAAGCAAGATGTACGTGCAGACCACTGAACCCTGGGTCACGCACCCACATACTCTATGGAAATGCAATCCTTGGAGCAATCAACCACGGGGCACCAAAAGGGCAACATTCACATGGAGGAAATGCAGGACAAACAGGAGTACATAACTATGAGGGGCATGGGGGGTGGGTTACTAGGCAGGAAGGGGAGGAGACTGGTTTAGGGTTGGGCATGGTAAATGGGGAGTGAAACTAAATGTACACATAATGTTGAATGAAAAACAAACTTAAAAAATTTTAAAAAAGAAAAAAAAAAAAAAAAAAAAACACTCACTCAAGTCACTCGGAGCTTTCCCAAAGCAGAGATTCCCAGGCCCAACTCTAAGATTCTGATTCAACAAGTCTGAGTAGGACCCAGGAAACAGCATTTTGGAATAACTTTCAGGTGACTCTGATGACCAGCCATATTTGAGAGCTTCCCATCTATATAGTACCTTCCCTTTTCAGAGGCAGAAGCTGGCCTCTGGATAATTTTTCAGTTTCAATAGAAACTTTAACCTCTTAAACTCATCATTGATCTTTCCATTTGAACATGGATAGATCATGTTCCACCATATACTAGAAAAGGAATTAGATGCTAGGGTGTGAGATGGTCATGGTTTAAGTGGCCAGAAAGACATAAACAAATTAATGCAAGGCACTGAGATAACAGAAGTCATGTTATCAAAATCCCCTAAGAATGTAAGAAGCAGAAAGAGGAGCATAGCCTGGGAAGTCAGTGAAGGCTTTACAAAAGCTGATATTAGAGCTAGCTCTTGAGAGATAACCTGTTGGAAGAGGGGGCTGAAGGGCAGAGAGGGCTTCAAAGGCATTTTAAGCAAATATGTGAAAGTGAAATAAAGAACAAGGAGAACTTGACGTTGCACAGGAAATGAAGTGCGAGTGTGGAGGCAACATGTTGGAAGATGACCCTGGAAAGGAGGACAACAAACAATGCAACACACTGCTGTCAAGTCGGATCTGACTCATAGTGACCCCTCCTTGGGTTTCCAAGGTGGTATCTCTACATAAGTAGATTGCCCAACCTTTCTTCCAAGAAGTGGCTGGTAAGTTTGAACTGCCAGCCTTCTACTTAGCAGTCTAGTGCCTTAGGCACTGCTAAATAGTGAAGGTCAGTTTGCAGAGTAGGGACTTGATCCTGAAGTTCAGATTTCGCTATTTCCAGGTAAGATAGGCAGGAGTGACAAGATCGGAACTGCAGTAAAAATGGGTCGTTCTTGTTTGGAGGAGAGATTGCAGAGAGAATGAAGAGGTTGCAGATAGGAGCTTAGAGAAGAGATTTTTAGGGCCAGAATAAAAATATTAGTAAGGATAAGAAAGAGGTGATATATTTGGGATAAACATGAGAATTTGAATCCATAGGACCAGACAGCTGATCAGATGTGGTTAATTAAGGAGTGTGAATGCTAAAATTTCTGGATTGGGCCACTGGACAGTGCCACTTAGTACTGAAATAATGCCTGTTGAACCTTTTAAATACTGCTATCTAGAGCCCACCAGCCACTCCTCGGAAGGAAGGTTGGGCAATCCTACTTCCGTAGTGATACTGCCTCGAAAACCCAAGGAGGGGTCGCTATGAGTCGGGGCCGACTCGACGGCACATAACAACAACAACAACATCCAGAGCCCAGAGGTCTGGGGAGAATGCACATGGGTAGCATCATTAAGAAGCTCTAAATAAACTTTTCAATTCTCTCTTCATTTGAATTTTCTACACTTAAGGTGAATCCACTAAATTACATAGGCAAAACTTTGGAAAACTTTTGTTGTTAGGTTGTCGTTATGTGCCGTTAAGTCAGACCCAACTCATAGAGACCCCTCCTTGGGTTGCCGAGGCAGTATCACTACGGAAGTAGATTGCCCCATCTTCCTTCCGAGGAGTGGCTGGTGGGTTTGAACCGCCAGCCTTCTGGTTAGCAGTCAAGTGCCATAGGCACTATGCTACCAGAGCTCCTTGGAAAACTTTTAGTATAACAGTATTGTACTTTACATTTGTGTATTTGTATTTTAAAAATATTTCATATACAGTATTTAAATATATCATCTTTGGATTGTGTCAAGTATGTTTACTTAATTTAATAAAGCAATATATTTTCAGATTTAAAAACTGGATATTCAAAATTAACCATACAGGACAGAAAGTACAGTGAGTTTTCAAGAGCTCTGCCATGTTGGACCTCACAGAAATGCCTGTATTTACCAGCAATTGATAACATCCCCTTGCTGCCACCTGGTGGTAGCATACCAAACTTAATTTTAAAGAGGCAAATCACTGGGAAAAATTACAAAGTTATGAAAGTTTGTGATTTTAGCTTATTGGAACTCAGTGGCACTTATGAACTCTGCAGATATTTTTAATTATTCTGTTACAAAAATAACATATGCTGTTATTGTTGTTATTGTTGTGTTTTGCCATAGAGTCAGATCCAACTCATAGCAACCCCTCCTTTCGGAGGCATTATCACTATGAAAGTAGATTGTCCAACCTTCTTTCTGAGGAGTGGCTAGTGGGTCTGAACTGCCAGCCTTCTGGTTAGTAGTCAAATGCCTTAGGCACTATGCTACCAGAGTTCCTAAAAAAATAAATAAATAACATATGCTTACAGTTAAAATAATGTGAGGATACAAAATTATATAAAATAAAAAATAAGTTTTATCTCTCAACCCAATCTGAGTCACCAAAGGTATCCAACATAGCAATTTTGCCCTCACGTTTCCTGTACATGTATAATTCTGGAGAAATTTTAATGAACCATATTGAAAACAGAGAGATCTCCTTGTTAGAGAAGCTCTCATAACCCTCCTTGTGGAAGGGCCCTGAAACAATGAGAGCCCTGCTGGGCACTAAAAAGGGAGCATTCAAGTCTCAGGGTATGGCTACAGACTTTGCCCAGATAAGGAATATTCTCAGTGCTGTGTGTACCTGACAAGGTGTGATGGTGCTCCCTTTGGTTTCATAGATAATGTTGATGGAGAACATCATCCTTTTGCTGTTGGCCACTTATTTCCTCCAGGAGGCATCATGGAGCAGCCTGTGGATGATAGCAGGTGTCATGTCTGGATTTCTGATTGGTAAGACCCAGTATCACCTTCTCACACCTTGCTCCCCTCTTGTTTTTCTATAGTGAATTCCAAGGGTAGAAAACCATGCAGTCATGCTCGCTTAAATAGAAACGAAGGAATGGCACTCACTGCAGTGTGAATAGTGAGACCATCACAGACTAGGGGATGAGACACTGAACTCAGCATACTTCTGCCTTGCTTGACTTTGCTAGTAATATTAAGTCATGCTGAGGCTGTCCATTTCTACCCAGAATGGCTTGTGTGAAATGCCCAGATCAGATGCCATCTAAGCATCTCATGGCCGTTAAGTCAATTTCAACTCATAGTGACTCCACATGACGAAGTAGAATGCTTCATAGGATTTTCTTGGCTGTAATCTTTATGGAAGCAGATCACCAGGCCTGTTCTGTTTACTGTGATAGTTGGAGCTGTGTGTCAACTTGGCTAGACCACAATTTTGTGTGGTTTGAGCTGTTGTGGTGTGGTTGTTCCCATGATGGGATCAGATGATTATGTTTTGAGTGGCCAATCTGTTGAAAGGGAGTTTCCCTAGGGGTGTGGCCTGCTTCCAGTGTCTCTGTGGACATTCTGGGAGAGGAGACATTCTTCTGTGAATCAGGATTCTGTGGTGCTGCCTACAACTATCCGTGAGTGAACAATCCACCATTCGGCCTGGAGATCTTGGATTCATCATTCGTTGGAGTCAACAGCTGGTGTACTGCCTGCCAGCCTTGAGCTCCTCAGCCCCTGCAGCTGCAAGAGTCAGGAAAAGTCTCCAGCTTGACGTTTGATCCAGGAACTTTTTACTTGCCAGCTTCTATAAGTGTGTGAGCCATTTTCCTAAGATAAATTTTTCTATATATACATATATATAAGCTTTACTGGTTTTGTTTCTCTAAAGAACCCAGTCTAACACATTTGGTACCGAGAGTAGGGTTCTAGAGAGACAAAATCATAAGGATTGGCTCCTAAATTGGTTCTCCAATTTGATTAGTGGTAATGAAACTAGTGACCCTGCCTCTGTCAGTAAAGAGGGTCCTGCTAATCCCTGGTGTGAGGTGGCAATGTTAATATGCAAAATAATACCACCAATAGAACAAGTACTTGTGCGAAGTGAGGCTCTGGGTGATCAGATATTTGACACTTTTCTGCAATTTTGTGAGCATGAGAAGTATAGGGAAGGTGGTCAGTTGGTTCTACTTATGCTAGACAGAGTGGTGAAAGAGCAAGATGAGCTCAGAGCTGCTGAGTCTCAGCTTAAGCACCGCATAAAAGACCTCAGTGCTTCCAGTTGTGCTCTGAAAGAATGTCTTATATCTTCTAGTAACAGAGCAGATACTGCTGAAAACCAAACCCAGAGTCTTATTGTAAGGGTGGCTGAATTACACCACCGATTAAACTGCCAACCCAGAACGGTGTCTGAAGTTAAAGTGAGGGCATTGATTGGGAAAAAATGGGATCCTGAAACCTGGAATGGTGACATGTGGGCAGGAGATAGTCAAGAAGATCAGGATGCAGAGCCTATAAATTCTGTTGAATCCTTCCCATCTGAAGGGATTACTGTAAAGCCATTATCCCCTCCACCTCAGTTTGATGGGATTAGCCCTACTGTTCTGTTGAGTCATTGCCGAAGGCAGAGGCCATGGAAGACATTCATGAATGTTCTGAGGAACTGCCCCAACCACCCATTGTTGCTGCTAGACCTATAACTAAAGTTAAGTCCAAGTGAGCCCCAAAAGGTGAAATAGAAAGTGTGATTGAGGAGGTGGTATACTGCACCCGAAAAGACCTACTTGATTTTGCTAACATGTACAGACAGAAACATGGAGAATATGTATGAGAATGGCTACTGAGGGTGTGAGGGATAATGGTGCAAGGAATGTAACATTGGGTCATTCTGACTTTATTGATTTAGGCCCACTAAGTATGGCTTCTTCATTCAGTGTTTCAGCTCGAGAGGTTAGGAAAGGATCTAATAGTTTATTTGGTTGGCTTACTGAAGCATGGATTATGCGGTGGCCTACCTTAAGTCAAGATGAAATACCAGACCTGCCTTGGTATAATGTATAAGAAGGTATTCAGAGGCTTAGGTAAATTGGCCTGTTGGAATGGATTTATCAGATTAAACCCCTAGAGCCAGAAATGGAGAGTCCAGAAGACACACCTTTCACCAGTACAGTGAGGAATAAATTTGTGAAGGGAGCTCTAGCATCCTTGAAGACTGCTGTAATTGCTATTTTATATAAACCTGACTTGACAGTGGAACTGCCCTAATTGAACTAACACACTTAACTACGATGGGGCTGATTGAACCTCGTGGTAGTAGGGGCCAAGTGGCAGCAGTTAATCGACAAAGGCAAGGTGGGCATGGTTACCATAATGGACAGCAGAGTCAGAACAGTCGTCAGAATAGTCTGACTCATGTGGAATTATGGCATTGGCTACTTGCTCGTGGTGTTCCTAGTAGTGAAATACATGGCAAGCCTACTAAATTTTTACTTGATCTGAATAGACAGAAGCCTGGGTCACGTGAACAGCAACCTAGATTGAATCGCCAGAATACCTCTCAATCAATTCCTGGACTTGAGTCAGTTTACAGACCCACAACCCCTTGAATGAAAGGGAGGCCAGGTCCCTTTGAGGAAGGACCCCACTACATTGCCAAAAATCTATAATGCCAGTCTTTCTCCCAGCCTTCCCCAAAGGAATCTGAGGCCTTTTACGAGAGTGATTGTTCATTGGGGAAAAGGAAATAATCAGACTTTTTGGGGATTAGTGGACACTGGCTCTGAATTGACACTAATTCCCAGAGACCCAAAGCATCATTGTGGCCCACCAGTCAGAGTGGGGGCATATAGAGGTCAAGTTATTGATGGAGTCTTAGCTAAGGTGTGTCTCACAGTGGGTCCAGTAGGTCCCCGAACCCATCCTGTAGTGATTTCCCCAGTGCCCGAATGCATAATTGGAATTGATATACTGAGCAATTGACAGAATTCCCACATTGGGTCCCTGACATGTGGAGTAAGGGCTATTGTGATAGGAAAAGCCATTAAGAACTGCCTCTACCTACAAAATTAGTAAACCAAAGCAATACCACATCCCTGGAGGGGTTGCAGAGATTACTGCCACCATTAAGGACTTGAAGGATGCAGGGGTCGTGATCCCCACCACATCCCCATTTAATTCACCTATTTGGCCTATGCGAAAAGCAGATGGATCTTGGAGAATGACAGTAGATTATCGTAAACTTAATCAGGTGGTGACTCCAATTGTGGCTGCTGTTCCTGATGTGGTTTCATTGCTTGAGCAAATTAGTACATCTCCTGGTACTTGGTATGCAGCTATTGATCTGGCCAATGCCTTTTTCTTGATACCAATTTCAAAGGACCATCAGAAGCAGTTTGCCTTCAGCTGGCAAGGCCAACAATATACTTCCACAGTCTTTCCTCAGGGGTACATCACCTCCTCTGCACTATGTCATAATTTAGTCCATAGGGATCTTAATCGCCTTTCCCCTTCCACAAGACATCACACTGATCCATTATTTTGATGGCATTATGCTGATTGCACCTAGTAAAGAAGAAGTATCAATGATTCTAGACTTATTGGTGAGGCGTATGCATGCTACAGGTTGGGAAATTAACCCAACAAAAATTCAGGCACCTTCCAACTCAGTGAAATTTCTAGGGGTCCAATGGTATGGGGCATGTCGAGATATTCCTACTAAAGTGAAAGATAAGTTATTGTATCTGGCTTCCCCCACAACTAAAAAGGAGGCACAGCGTCTAGTGAGCCTCTTTGGATTTTGGAGGCAACATATCCCTCATTTGGGTATGTTGCTGTGGCCTGTTTATCAAGTGGCTTGGAAAGCTGCTAGTTTTGAGTGGGACCCAGAACAACAGAAGGCTCTGTAACAGGTTCAGGCTGCTGTGCAGGCTGCTCTGCCACTTGGGCCATATGATCTGGCTGATCCAATGGTGCTTGAAGTGCCTGTAGTAGATAAAGATGCTGTTTGGAGTCTTTGGCAGGTCCCTATTGGTGAACCGCAACGCAGACCCTTGGGATTTTGGAGCAAAGCCCTGCCATCCTCTGCAGATAACTACTCTCCTTTTGAAAAACAGCTTTTGACTTGTTACTGGGCGTTAGTAGAGACTGAACGATTAACCATGGGCCACAAAGTGACCATGAAGCCTGAGCTGCCCATCATGAACTGGTTGTTGTCTGACCCACAGAGTCATAAAGGTGGACATGCACAGCAGCACTCCATCATTAAATGGAAGTGGTATATCCGAAATTGAGCTCAAGCAGGACCTGAAGGCACAAATAAGTTGCATGAGGAAGTGGCCCAAATGCCTGTGGTCTCCACTCCAGTCACATTACCTTCCCTCTCCCAGTGTGCACTTATGGCCTCATGGGGAGTTCCTTATGATCAGTTTACTGAGGAAGAGAAAACTCGTGCCTGGTTTACAGATGATTCTGCGCAATATGCAGGTACCACTAAAAGGTGGACAGTAGTGGCACTGCAGCACCTGTCTGGGACTTCCTTAAAGGACAGTGATGAAGGGAAATCCTCCCTATGGGCAGAACTTCAAGCCGTGCATATGGCTGTTCACTTTGCATGGAATAAGATATGGCAAGTTATGCGATTATATACAGATTGATGGGATGTGGCTAATGGCTTAGCTGGATGGTATGGGACTTGGAAGGGGCATGATTGGAAGATTGGTGATAAGGATGTATGGGGAAGAGGTATGTGGATAGATCTCTCTGAATGGGCCAAAGGAGTAAAGGTATTTGTGTCTCATGTGAATGCTCACCAAAAGGTGACCTCGGCAGAGGTGGACTTTAACAGTCAGGTGGATAGGATGACACATTCAGTGGAAACCAGCCATTCTTTTTCCCCAGCTACTCCTGTCATTGCTCAATGGGCTCATGAACAAAGGGCCATAGTGGCAGGGATGGAGGTTATGCATGGGCTCAGCAACATGGACTTCCACTTACCAAGGCTG